TCCTAGGTGCTTTCTAAGTCCTGGGATCTCTGCCCCCCACCCCGCCCCCCAAGCACGTATGGTCATCAGTGATAGGTGCTCAAGATTGGGATATGGATTACCAAGCAGGAGTCAGAGGGATCGGGAAGGGCATACTGATTCTGTCAAGCAAAGAGGGAGGGCATACGAGCTTCAGAGGAGCCCGTAGAGGCCACACCACACAGTCTTAGGGGCCTCAGAAACCTCAGGTGGCCCATAAGGTGAAAGAATCTGGGGCTGGGTGGCTAGCTCTGAGTGACTTCACCCATTCAGTCACTGAGGTCCCCAAAATGAGCTCAGAGTCACTCTTAGCCAAGCTTACAGGATTGGTACTGAGCCTCAACACAAGTCACGCCTGGAACTTGCTAACTAGGGCCTCGAGTGCCCAGCATCCAAGCAGTGAGTAGGCCGGAGGAAAGCTCTCCCGCCCGTTCTTGCTGGTGGAGGGCATTCATTCCCCAACAAAATGTGGTACTGGGATAGAAACCAACAGAACAGACCAAGGAAAAGTCTTTCCCCACAAAAAGAAGAAAGCAAGCTGTCTTTTGAGAGCAGACGGTGCGTGTGATTGTGCAGCACATATGGAGACTGAGGGAGAGGCTGTGAGATTCCGGGGGTGCGGGTCTCAGGTCAGCTGTGATTGGTGGGACACAGGTGGTGTTTCAACACAGCCGTTTGTCTCTGCAGGGTCCACTGCCAGCTGGCGCGCCTCTTTGCTCGGGGAATCGAAGAAGAGTCTTAAGCGAGAATCCCAAAGCCCAGGAGCCGTCTGCCCTGAGCTCGGGGAGTGGGAAAATTAAGAAAATTTCGACAGACCAATTATGTTGATATATCCATTTGAATTTAGAAATTTATTTTTGATAGGTAAATCTTGGTTTTTAGAAAAGACAGCCTTGTCAACAATTCTGTATGCATACCTGGCACCCTCGGCTCCACACCCGCGTGTGCGCACACCCGCGCCGCTTTTCACTCGTTCTCAACAAACGGCACTTGCTGGTTTGTGGCATCGGCTTCCTAGATTTCAGCCATGCCGACCATGCAGATTTCAAGACGGCCCTTAAGTGGCTACACTGCAATAATCTTAGGGACATTATAACATGACTCCGTCCCAGGAATCAGGTCTGGACACACGGGTTCATGACCCAGTCATCCTGACCCCTTTGGTGAGACTTTCTCTGGAGTCGTCCGTGACCAGGTCTTGGTTTCAGTTGTCTTTGCCTCTGCTTTACACCTACCTTCATTTATGATGAGGATGTCACTATGTGGCCACCGCAACTGTAACTCAGCAAGGTCCTCCGCACAGCCACGCCTGCAGAGCAGGGCCATATCACTTGGAGAAGACACCCAGGGTGACGTCTCACTCTCAGGTTCCCCACATCCGCCCTCATCACAGCCGCATCCTGTGAGACAATCCAGCAAAGTACCCACTCGGAAGCTTCATTCTGTCAGCCCTGGTAGCCTGCACACCCTGGACAGGGCAGTCTGTGAAGCACTGGCTAAGAGGAGGCTCTGTTTGGAATCAGAGCACTTTCATAGCTGGGTTTAGGGGTGAGGGGGTGGGCAGCTGGCACACACAGAGGGTACTTTGTGAGTTCAATACCACCCTCACCAGCGGGATGGTGGATACCCACTGTCACCAGCGGGATGGTGGATGATCTCAGGTCACCCCCCAGGTACTCTGGTGCAATCCTTGTCTATTCCTGGGTGCACATCCATTCTTCCCGCACCGTGGTGGATTCTGTTCCATGTACTTAACCACAGCTTCCTCCTGGTCCATCTAATCTTGTGTCCAGCGTAATTCCACATCTTGGCTATTTGCTCTGTCTCCACAAGGGGCCCGCTAGCTGCTCTGGCTGAAGCCCTGGGCTCATGACCAATTTTTTCTCTGAAGGCATTCCTGACCCAGGGGCTTCTCAGTCACACACTATGGCCTGTGCTGCGTCTCCAGACGGACGCATCTGAAATGTGTGTAAAAGGGTTTTATGTGAAACTCAAGACGACGCAGCTTAAACTTGACTTGCAAACGGGGAAGGGCACTGACTGTTAAAAGAGTAGGTTTTAGGTTCTGCACTGGGGAAAGTGTGCGTCTCAGGTGGGTCCTGTTACCTACAGAGTTCTGTAGGCTGCACCACTTTCTAGGTGCCCTTGCGCTGACTTCTGTTTTGAGGCATACACACAATCCCGTTAGTATTCAGTCCCATCCAGATAAAAGAGCAGCTGTAAAGGCGACTATGTTTAGGGACCACTTTAAAGGCAACTGTGCGGTGGTGCTATTTAATGATCGTCAAGTAGAAAGCTGGCTAGAAAGAGTAAATGCACCTAGCAATTTCTATCCAGATCTGTCCCCGGATGGGCAGGACCCAAAGGTGTCAGACTAGCAGTTCTGTGATTAGGTAGGCAGCCCCGGAGCAGAGTCAGGGCAGATGCTCGGCTGGCCACCTCAGTGTGCCCACTCACCCCTGGCATTCCGGAGGGGGCCCGAGGCAGCTGTGGGTGCCCCTGGATCTCGGGAACTGCACTCTCCTCCAGGGATTCAGGTCTTCACTGGCCTCACTACATGATACCCATGCCCTGGTCCACCCCTGCCACTGCCAGTTCTGGGGGGAGAGATGCAGATAGAGGATGCTTTGGTGCTTAGCAGTGCAAGCCACGTTTGGAATCTCCAACCTTGGCGCTATCATTGAGCATCATGAGTGTCAGACACTTAGGACCCGTGACACGGGTACGGAGGATGGGAGGGGGACCCCTGACATTCCCAAGCAGTGGACAGTCTCCATGATGCTTTTTAGATGTGACACCCCAACCTCCCGGGGTCTTAGGTATTTTAGGAGAAAAAACAGGGGTAAAGGTTAGATAGTGGCAACTTAGGATCCTGTAGCCCACCTGTAGCCCACCAGTGCCCAACAGTTAGGCAGCAGTCATATGCGGTAACTTATTCTTGTTTATGGAAACTAAGCAGCGGGAGCGGGGAGCGGCTGGTTTCCCAGGATGCTTCATTCCTCAATGCGGTCTCCTGGAGCTACTGACTAGGAGCACTGACTGGGAGCACTGACACAAGAATGGCCCAATATGCCTCCTGATCTTGCTGGCTTCAAGATTAGGAAGTGGCATATTTGATCTGATATGTTTGAGAAGACAAAAAGAAATAATAAAGTTACTTTGGGCAGAAAATGGCTTCCCCTCCCCACTCTTTTACAAGTTCTTTTCAACGCAGATTAAAAAAAAAAAAGAAAACACAGAATAATGAATCTTTGCTAAGAAACTGAAATGACACTCTAAATATTCATGGTGTTCTCCCTGATGAGTCCACCCCTCTTCCCTCCCCCTTGTGGATAGCTCTGGTGCCATATTAACATTTGAGCAGTCCCTCCCTGTGTCACCTGGGGTCCGTCTCACAGAGCGTTATTTAGCTAGTAGGCTCTGCCTGAAGGAAACACACAAAGTGTTTCTTGCAACTCATCTCTTACTGATAAAGCTGTGCTTGCATGGTACAGCTATGCTGGGCAGAGCATGAACACTGTCTCTGGAGAGCCAGCCACAGTGGCACTCATCGGGGTCTACATGCATTGTGCCCTCAGACACTCAGCCTGGCCTAAGGGAACCAGGCGAGAGCCTCAAACAGGACTAGGCATGGTGGCACTATATAGCTGAGAGGTCATGCCACAGGCTCAGGAAGGACGGCTGCAGAGACTCAGTGAGGGTGAGTTAGGAGTGATTAGGTTGTCATGGTAGGGTGTGCTCTTGGGAGAGCTGAGTCTCTATTTGCCAAGTACCTAGGGAACTCTGACTATGCTGTGTCTCAGCACCAAAGCCAATGTGTGCTGCTATGAATCGATGGGTGGATGGGTGAGAGGGATGGATGGATGGATAGGTGAATGGATGGGTGGGTGGATGGATGAATGGATGGATGGGTAGATAGAAGGGTGGGTGGGTGGATGGATGGATGGAAGTGTGGGTGGGGGGATGGATAGGTGAATGGATGGACAGGTGGATGGATGGATGGATGGATGGATGGGTAGATAGAAGGGTGGGTGGGTGGATGGATGGATGGATGGATGGATGGATGGATGTGAGGATGGATGGATGGATGGATAGATGAATGGATGGGTGGATAGATGAATGGATGAGTGGGTGGATGGATGGATGGATGTGTGGATGGGGGGATGGATAGGTGAATGAATGGACAGGTGGATGGATGGATGGATGGATGGATGGATGGACGTGTGGATGGGGGGATGGATAGGTGAATGAATGGACAGGTGGATGGATGGATGGATGGATGGATGGATGGATGGATGGATGGATGGATGACGTACACATGTATGAAGTGTGGATAGATGTAAGGGTGGGTCAGCAGCTGGATGATGTGTCGGTGAACAAACAGAAGATGCAATGTCCATCCTATGGCCACACTCCTGGATACCCACTGTCTGTAGCCCCTTTCCAAAGAGGTTTGGGCAGCTTACTGGGCGCTCACTCTTTTGAGGCAGAGGTAGGGCCAGGCACCAACAGCATGCCCATCTGGGTTTTGACTCCCAGGTTTTCTTATATCCCTGTGTCCAGTGTCAACATCTGAATCAGTAAAGTCACAGCTTTACCAGAGACCCTTCTGCACAGGACCCCAGGCTGGCAGAGACCACAGCTCAATGGAGCCAAGACCCACCCTGCAACTCCAAGGCATTGCCTGGTCCAGACTCCCCCTCATACACCCAGGGCCAGCCACTTCTCCAGCATTTCTTCTGGGACCCAGGGGCTACCTCCTGCTCCCAGCCTCCCTCACACCAGGGGGCGCAGTAGAGCAGTCAGACCCACTCCTCATCCCACTTCATAACCCAAGCCTTCATTCTCAAGACAGTTTTGTGTGGAACTCAAACGGCACTAGTGGCCACGAGGACTCTGGTGCGGTACAGGCCTGGGAGCTACCCAGATGCTCTCCCAACCAACATCTACACACTCTGCTAAGAACAGAGGATTCCCCGGACTCAGCACAGAGCATTTTAGGTTTATTAAATACAAATCATAATTTATACAAGACTTTGTATCTAAACAAGTTTTTCTTTTTTTAAAAAAAAATGTGACAGAGGATTTTTTCCTATCAATTCTTTATAGAATATGATCCTTTTGTAGAACAAAAGTTACACCAGTAACAATTATGTACAGAGCCAAAACAGACTCAAGCTTCACACATACAAGACTGAACATTCTAGGTCAGTGATTAGTGAGCAATTAACACCTGCCCAGATCACACAATCCAGTACAAACCCCAGTGTCTCCGTAAGTATGCCTAGAGGCTGCACAGGCCCCTGGACCAGCCCTGTCCCCCTGAGCTCCACCCAAAGACCTGCCGGTGCAGTGGCCAATGGTGGAACTTGGGGCTGCCGCCACCTCCCTGATCCATGGTCAGTCTTCATCTCTCTTTCCCAGAGAAAGAGACTCAAACTAAACCACTTATTCCACCCCTAAAGCCTACGCAGCTTAAAGCCTCTCTGTGGCACGCCAGGTGGCAACCCTCACCAACCCGGGCACTGCCAGGGTCCATAAAGTGTTAGCCACCATGTGTAGCTATCACCCATGAAGCCATCCCCAGAGACAGGTCAGAGGTCATGTTGCCTCCCCTCTGGCATGCTGGGGTGCTCCTTATCTCACTCCATGCTCTTCATAGTCCGAGCATATTTCAGGGGCTCAAGCCACAGCCCTGGGTGGAGGGTCCTGCCTCCCCAGTCAGACTCCTCTCTGTACCTGGAGCCATGTGGCCTTTGCTGCACATCTGGAGTGGTATGTGTGCTTGATCTGGTTGCCTAGCAAGCCCTTCCCACCCGCAGTGTGTGGCCTGAAGTCCCTGGGGATGAGGTGTCATAAGCCCAAGCCACCAGGCCTCACACCCACACCGGCGAATGAGCGTTGGAACCAAGGTAAAAATTACATTTGAAAAATGATACAAAAATAAGAAAGACAGCTTGCTCTCTGTAAAAAATATAATCTTCTGTTTCTTCAAAAAAGCAATCTCAGGGACATCTGAAGGACTCGGGACAAGCTGAAGGAGCCAGAGTGGTCCACCTGGGAAATTCACAGGTGGGGTAGTGGTTGCCGCCTTCAGAGGCCCAGGCCTGCAAGATCACCCACCCGTGAAGTCTCCACCTTTGTCGGGGCAGGGAGCATGGACAGGGTGGGATCTGCCTTATCCTTGCAGGGCGTGCAGGAAGAGAGAATACTGTTAGACATTAGAGGTAGAAGGCAACTCGGGCCCCCAACCTCTAGACTCTGCCCACAGCTGTCTCCTGTGACACAGGGCCCTCCCATATCTCCCTGACAACCCCTCAGAACAGCTCCTTGAACCCATCTGGTTACCCAGAGTGGCTGCAGCCTGGAGGCCAAATGCCAGCTAGATGACCACAGAGTCTCTCACTTAACAGCAGAGTGGAGAATGCCCCCCAAACCTTCCAAAGAGCAAAGTGTTAAAAAAGGTGTGCTTTTGCCGACACGCCATTCTGGACCCTCGCTGGACACCAACCACTGGCCTGACCTCCTGGCTGGAGTGTCAAGTCAAGATGAGCCAGAGTGATAGCTCATGCCCAGACAACTGAAAATGGAGGGGGAGGTACCCCCCAAACACCAAGCCCTGAGAGGCCCTATCCACAGCCTCGAAGTGGCCACAGTAGGTCCAACATGGAAGAAGGGTCTGAGGGCTGGGTGAGATGACTGGCCATTTCTTCCCTAGAGAGGGGCTTCCCCACCATTTCTCTCTGTCTTACCACCCCTGTAGGAAGGGGCCACAACCATTCCCAGGTATGGCTTTGGTGGAAAAAGCCTCTGGAGAACAGGGGTCATAAGACCAAGGAGCCTCTCAGGATGGCAGGGGCTGGGTCTGTACCCAGGCCGGGAAGGAGAGTGAGGAGCTGTGCTTAGCAGGGCCTGAGGACCAGAGTCTTGTATGCCATCCTTCAAACAGGTTAAGAGGATCCTCTGCCCACCTGTGGACACAGGCGGTCACGAAGGTGCTTTGCGCGTTCAGCACGGGCCAACCCGGCACCATTCCATGGGAGTTCCAGCCCTTCTGGTCTGCAGACTCTAGACCAGTATAACCAGCCAACGGTCCAGGAGGATTATTGCGGAAGATGATCGTGAGGACGTCTGCTCCTCTAGCCAATGGTTGGAAAGGATTCCGGCAACGCCTCAGAGTCAATACTAGCTGTCACCACCAGAGGCTGCTGCGGACGTGATTTTCACATACTGGCTGAGAATGGTCTCAAAGGCTTCATCTCTGTGCACCATGGCACCGAACACCAGGGGCTGGTGGAGAAGAAATGGATTGCGGAGGAATGAATGCTTCTTAGCCAGGCTGGGGCTACTATGGCCCCCGTCAGACCAGGGCAGCAGCCTGGCAGGGTGTAGACAGCCCGGCAAATGACCAGATACTCGTCTCTCCTAGAAGATTCCAGCCCGAGGACCCAGACTTTTCTCCTTAAATGCCTGCAGGATCCGTTCCCTCTGGGTCTCGTAAACATGTCTGCCCTGTAACCGTACGGTGCCCACACAAGCTAAGCTTTCTGGACCTTGACTCCATGGAGTAGGTCCCAGTGTTGATGGAAGAAGGGAGCTTCCCCTCAAGATGAAACCACATCCCAGGAGGGCTCACTCAGGTCCCCTGGCCAAGGGTAGTACAGTGCCCACACAAGCTAAGCTTTCTGGACCTTGACTCCATGGAGTAGGTCCCTGTGTTGATGGAAGAAGGGAGCTTCCCCTCAAGATGAAACCACAGGAGGGCTCACTTGGGTCCCCTGGCCAAGGGTAGGAGCAGGGTGGGTGTCATCTGCCAGGTACTTACTTTCTGGGTTGATGGTGTAGATACGGCAATTCCCATGCCTGAGCCAGGGAGGACGGACAAGACTTTGTACTGAAAGGAAAGAGTACCAGCATCACTACCAGCTTCTCCTAAGGACGGGGTAAAGCTAGTCCCCCATGTGTCCAGGACACTCTCCTACAGGTCAGGCACATAGACACCAAGACCTGTAGAGGCCTAGAATATCCCAGCTACAGGAAGTAAAGGGTTCTGTCTTCTGATTTTGTGGTATCCCCCACCCACCCACTCCTGGTGTGGCTGATAGTTGTGTAAGGCTACGTGTCGGCATGGCTGATCCCTAAGGATAGGCTAGGACAATCCTGGCCCTGGCCTGACTGTGAACATGGGGTGGGGGTGGGGGTAACTAGATAGCCATGGGTTGAACCAAGGCAACAGAGGGACCCTGTCCTGTACTAGGACTATTCTCAACTATTGCCAGCTTGGACCCAGGCTACTTAGTTGGAAGCTGGTTGGTTCCACACTCAACAGAGTCATTCTTTCTCTGATCCACTCCCCCAAGCCCTCCAGACCCTGCATGCTCTATACACCAACACTCTAGGGAAACTGCTAAGCCTCACTCCATGTGTACAAATGTCTGTAAGTGCCTAGGTGGAAGGTCTGTGACAGAACTCAGATTCTCCTTTCAAGGCACAGCAAGGGCAGGGACGGAGCTCAGCTGACAGCTTGCTTGCTGAACATGTATGAAGCCCTGGGCCTGAATCCCAGCAGCACATACAAAAACAAATGAACAAAAAAACAAAAAAAAACAAAAAAACAAGCATGCAAGCAAAGAACTGAGTTCGGGGTTAGCCTGGACTACATGAGACCGGAGAAGCAGGGTGGGGATGGGAGGAGAGTCCAGCAGGTTAGGCAGACGTCACTCTTGCTCCTTTCTGCATGTATAATAAGGCCAGTTGGTGACTCCCAGGGATGTGGAAGAAGTGAGACTGCACTGTGGCCCAAGGTATTCAACTGTCTCAGAAGGAGAAGACTCTAGATCACATCTCCCCCAACCCTGGGCTCATATCCGCAAACCTCTCCATCTTTGTGGCCCTACTGACTCTCCAGGCTGTAAGTGGGGCAGGATGGGTGGGTACCCACCTTCTGGATGTCTGTGATGTCCATCAGCTTGATCACCTTGTTCCTCTTTGATGACCCAGACTTGGAGCTTTCGAAGCACAGGTAACTAGAAGGGGAGGAAATGCAGAGGCATGGAATAGCCGCCGGACTAGAGGGGCTCCTGCTAAGTACGGTCCTCCCCGACTGCCTTGTAGCCTTGTGGATGGTCAGGGACCCACCACACTCAGAACCTGGAAGGAACTGAACTTCTCTGTGCTACGTCTAGGCCTTTCTGTCCCAGAAGATTGCTAACAGGAGCAGCAGGGACTTGTCCTGAGACCTCACCAGGCTCTCCTGGGCAGGGGGAGCAAGAAAGGACTTGGGGCTATGGCTACTGCTGCAGGTGCAGGGGACAGGATGGTAAGGGGCCCCATGATGATGACCATCTATATACCCTACCCCTGTTGTAGCCCTCCCTCAGATCCCATGGGGTGCCGAGGCATAGCATGGACAAGGTGCTTTGTAGTCCCACATAGTGGAGAAAGGCCAAAGCTACCTTTAGTCTAGCCTCAGACAGCAAGCATATGGACTGGACCCTCAAAGGTCACCATAAAGTCCACTTCCTGAGAGATTCTACCCTTTGTCCGTCTGAATAGCCACAAACCCCACATGAGCACCCCAAATGAGAGAACCCATCAGTCCAAGGGAGGACAGGGCTGGCCCAGGAATGGAGTCAGGAAGTCCAGAGAGCTGGGCAGGGTGTGGAATAGAGGTTGGGCCGGAGCAATGCAAAACCTGTTTGCTGGACCTGGGCATGTGTCTGGGACCTGGGGAGGATCCTGTCCCACTTCCTCCCCGACAGTCATGCTTGGGCCTGTGGCATCACTCACTTCTCTGTCACATACAGAACCCCATTCCTGATGTAGTCCGTGGGCATCTTCCGGTCTCGGTTAATGAGGCAGCAACGCCAACCATTCTCGCACACTGATGGAGAAAATGGACCTGGAATTTCCTTCCTCTGGAAATACCTGGGCCTTGACCTATGCTGGCGCCTGTCAGCACCAACTTGTTAAAGATGTAACCACAACCACAAGGGACCAGCAGAATAGACCAAGTGTGGGCTGATGGGGACACAGTGCTCACCCAGCAAGCCAGCCCTGGTTCCATTCCAGCACTGTGAATACACACAATGTCCAGAGTGGGGGTTGGGGGGGAGGGAGGCCTGTCAGGAGTGAGGTCACCTAGTGTCGGGGGCTTTCCTCTGACAATAAAAAAATCAAGCTGCAGTCCTTATGACTTAGGCAGCTTTCCACATACTGAGCCTGCAGCAGAGAAGGAGTCTCTCGAGAAAGCGGGCCAAGCCTTAGACTCTGCATCTCAGGAGCTTATTGAACACCTCTCCAGAAGGCTGACTGGACAACCCAGGTTGTGACATGTTGCACACTCAAGCCAAAGTGCCAGGGCACGCCTGGGCTAGCATCAGGTTTCTACCTTGATGCTAATGATACGAGAATCCCCAGCAAGTGGGCAGGGCTGAGCCCCACTCTCTAGGGATTCCTGCTTCTAGAAGGCCCACCTGAATCTACACTGAAAACATAGTTCAAGGACTATGATGTCATGCCTCCTCCTGATTCCTGTAACAACCCAGGACCCTGCTCCTATGTCACCTCTCTCAGGAAGTAAGTCTGGGCCTTTTCCTCCCTAGTTCCTTAAGCCTGTCCTGGAGGAGGGGTCATGCCTCCTGTGTGGGCTTAGACCCTGCCCCAGTCTTCCCTCTTCTCTATGTCTGGCTGGGTCAAGGACTCAGAGCATGCTTACCTGCTAGTGGGCGCTCGTTTTCAGTCAAGTTAAAGATTTCGTGGAAGTTTCCCTTCTTGGTGCTGTGGAAGCGACCAGCATCTTCATCCTTACTCAGCCCAGCTGGAGCACTGGAAACGTAGCTCCGTGATGAGGCTGTCTGCAGCTGCCAACAGCACACAGTCCTGGTCAGGCTCTGGCTACAGGCAGCTGGATCCGTTGCTGGTATGGGGACACACTAGCCTGCCTGCCTACACCAGCTGCAAACTGACAGACAGGCTCTATCCCCTCTGAAAAATGTGGAGTGTAGCTCCCACAGCCCCTTTCAGTGCAGTCCTGCATTGGATATATTCCGCGCGCTCTCTGGGTTAGATGAGATTAACCCCCCCCCCCCACGCCGGGAGATGTGCACCGTGCTGGAACTAAGCCTGGCCTCCAGCACACACAAGGACACGGCTGCCCAGCATGGGCTCTGCACTAGGGCAGTTAAAATTGACATTTCACAAGTCATCTGGCCACACAAGTCTAGAAGATCAATCATAGCATGGCAATGTCATAGCATCAGCTCACAGCAGGTCCAAGGGGGATTCCACACGGACATGGTACCTTATCATGCCCTGACAGCTGGCCAGAAAGGAGACAACAGGTACACATGTGACCATCACAAAAGAAAAAAGGGGGTACGTGTGATGTGAACTTGCAAGCACAAAGAGCTGAACAAAACTCAGCACAGACACATGAGGCCTGTGGGACACAGGGGACAAAGTGGGGTGGCTTCCACCACGATGTATCAGCCATGTCCTAGCTTATGATATGTGGTCTTGAGCCCTAGGAAGCCCCTGTCCCAGCTAGTCCAGGGCTAATATGGGCCCTCGATTTGTCCCCAAAGGCCAAGCTGTGTCCTGGGTGACCCTCTACTTGTTGGAAAAGAACAAGCGGGGCTTCTCCAGGCCTGGCTGCTCTGGCCTATGGCTGATCTCAGCTTCCCAACAGTTTCTGCTGTCCTGGGCCCCAGAGTGTGACCTTTCCAACCCAACTTATTGTTTCACTCTTACAAAAAGCGAGTCACTGGGACACCCCTTCCTAAGATACACTCATGTGGAGACTCTAATGTAACTTCTGACACATCCCTGGGAGCATTGCTGGGCCTGAGCACCCCACCTGCCTACAACCCCAAGGAGCACACACTGGCCCAATCCTCCCAGGGCTGGCTGGCCCTGATGTATTAAGTGGGTGGCCACAGGGGAAAACCTTACGGTGCTTTCCACTGTCTATCTCAAAGGCTGCTAAAATCTGGAAAACACCAGGCTCCAAGTGAGTAGGATATGTAGAACCAGAGGTCAGGGTCCATCAGCTTCACGGTTCTGCTTGCACTCTCCTCAGGGGGTTGGGGGTTGGGGGAGGAACTCACCCTGCGTGACACGGTGGCACCAGCACGCTCCTTGAGCTGGGGGTCGGTGGGAAGGCTCCTCCAGATGATATAGGGTGTGTCGTACTTGGCTCGAAGTCTTGGGCAGCGTTTGAAGATGAAGTCAATTAAGAAAAACTTGATGCCAGCATAGAGGCCTGAGGAGACAGCAGGGATACATCCATGCAGACAAAGGTCGGGCACTTTCCCACGATGGTGGCGTGGTTTGTTTCTTTGTTTTTTTCCTTACCAACAGCAAGCCCCACCAGGCGGTAGGGGAAGAAGCAAGAAGCCAGAAAGGCGGCCCACAGAGCGACATAGAGCTTCTGCGTGATCTCAGGTTGCACCCACATGAACAAGCTGGAAGGAAGATGGAGGTCAGGTGGGGTGGTGCACACCACCCTCGCTGCAGGGACAGCCACTTACTTCTTGATCTTTTCCAGAATGTCGGCCATCTTGCCGAAGAGATTCTGCAAGAAGAAGAAACTGAAGTGACCACAAGCTCGAGGGACTGTCAATCGTGCAGACACGCCCACACCCAGAAGGCACTGGGGGAAATACACAGCCCAAGATCATGGGTGCCCTGTGGTCCTACTCCGCCACTTCCGGGTCTGAGGTTGACTGGTCTAAAGCTAAGCTCACTGGATGTAATGAAGAGGGCAGATGATATCGAGCTCTGACTTTCTGGGGATGCTCAGCTCTGAATTCTTGGGGTGCTCAGCCCTGGTGGTGAAGGGCTCTCTCTGTTCACATAAGGCCAGAGATTCATCAGGAAACCATGTATCCCTGCCACCTCACCAGAGTGAGAAAGATGAGCTAGAAAAGACAGATCAACCCACAGCAGACCTGTAAGGCCTCTGGCTTGGGGTTCCTCCCTCCCAGGGTAACGGGCAAGCTCGGAGGTGGTACCTGTGCTTTCTGGGCGACATCCAGCACCAGCTGGAACTTCTCAGATACGGTCAGATCTTCCTTTGCAGGTTCCTTCAGTCAAAGGGGAGAGAGAATTTTCCACTGGAATTTAACAGTTCAGAGAAATTACTGACAACACACCATGAAGTCTCCCAGCCCCAGGGATTTGTGGGTCACTGCTGTCCGATACAGCCAGAGAACTGGGTGCAACCGCATCTGCTGGGCTAACGGTAAAATCTCTTGTGCTTGCTGCCATTCCCCAGTGCAGGGGGCAGGCAGGCTGTGGGGCCCCACAGGGTGAACACACACAGTGGTGGACAAAGGCCCTGACTCACCCTCCCAGCTCACTGCAATGGTATATCCTGTCAAAACCGCCCCCATTCACTCCTTGACAGACAGGGTAACTGAGGCCAGGTCCATTTAAGTTCACATGACTATTGCTCCTAAGAATCTCCTAAAGGTCCCCCCAGCCCTAGGGCTGGACAAGACACTGGCTTGCCTTAGTGGAGACTGTCCAATCCCTAGGTACTCCACGGAATATCAAGTATGCCTACAGGCATTGTGGCCTCCCTTTGGTCCACAGGTTCTCTAGAGCAGAGGTTCTCAGCCTGTGCATCATGACCCCTTTGGGAGTTGAATGGCCCTTTTGAAGAGATTATTTACAAGCCAGGCAGGGGCTAGACAGAGGTTCTGGCATCCAGGACAGAGTCATGACCACTTGTCCGGCATTCTGTTCATCTCCCTACCCACAAGCTCTATGGGGGCTATAATAATTCCCTTCTTGCCCCTACGTCAATCCCAGGTAGAAAAGGTCAGCCAGGACAGATGGACAGGGCAATCTGCTTCTAGACAGTGAAGCTTGATCCAGCTGAGAGCCTGAGTGGGTAGCCTCCTGGAGCTCAGGGCTGGCACGGCTGGCCCCCAGGCAGGGCAGGATGCTCATCTGCATTCCCCATGATGTGGTCCCAGGTTATGAGTTCTGACTGGTTAAGACAGAGGGACATATTGCTCCCCAGGACTCACCACAGCTTCAGACACTTCTGGCACAATGCTCCATTGTATCCGCCAGCCCCTGAAAAATGGAAGCCACCATAGCCATGAAAACAACGTCACCTTTAGGGGAACAACATTGAGCTACCAGCTGAATTACCAGCTAGAGCAGTGGCCATCTGCTCTTTCAGAGATGGCCACATAGGAGAGACCCCTGAAGCTGAGCTGTTCCATTCTGATATCTCACTGGCTACTCATGCTAGGTTCTCTTCTGCAGGCACATAGGCACCAACAGCCATTAAGGGTATGGAGGAGCCCAGCATTATCTGTTTGATCTCATCATGCCTACTGACTGGTCTGTTAATAAAGTTTTATTGACATCAGCAATGCTTCGTAGTGGATTGATGGTGATTAGGGCCTGTGGACTAATGGGGACTACTCCTTCAGAGGCATTTCAGTGTTTCCTACTAAAATCATTTTCAAATGAATTCCTGACACAGGCACAGAAGTGTATGGCATAGACTGGTATGTGGACTTGCAGTCTTCTGAGGGGCTGAGAGGAACTCTGGAGTCAAGGACTGTACCACAAACCAAGGCCAAAGGCTAATGTTTACTTCTAGGAGCAACCACAGGTAAAGCCCAACCTAGGAGATGCAGTTTCTCTAGAAAGAGATGTTCAGTGAGGACAAAGAATGACAGAGGGAACAGCCTCCATGGTGGAGTGAAGCGTCTCCGTGTGTGTGTGTGTGTGTGTGTGTGTGTGTGTGTGTGTGTGTGTGACGTGCCGCTATCACTGTGAACTCTAACCTTGCCTGCTCAGTGCTTCCTTCTTATAACCAACAGCTGTCAGGATGTTTGTGGGGGGGTGCAACATCCTGCAGTGCATGCCCACCCACCCCAGGGTTGGGAAGAACTTTCTGCCAAACACGCAGCGAGGCTAAGCCACCCACTGCCTGCCCCCTAAAGTCTCCAGAGCCTCTTGGAGGACCACCCACAAACATGACTACGAAGCATAGCTTGTGTTACAGCAGTACAGGGAAGCAGGCCACCCAGCAGGGCCATGTGCAGCAGTGCAGCCACGCAAGAGCCCAGGTCACCTACCTGGCGATGAGGTAATTGAGGGACAACCTCAGAATTGCTAGGAACAGGAACATGGGGATGGCCCAGCCATGCCATACAGCGTTCATGTATACCTGAGGGTGAAATGTGAGGGGTGTGGTTAGAGACATGTCAGAAGGTGAGGGACATGCAAACAGAGCACTCCAGTACACGCTGTGTCCTGCCTGCTTTCTCCAGCAATTAAGGGCGTCCAGTCCCAGCTCAACAAACACCCAGGGAACCAGGACGTGTGAGATGGGGAAGGCGGGAAGGCTGCTTCCATTTTAACAGAGAGGGAGACTGCTCTGTGTGAGTAGAGATCAGAAAAGGATGCTAGGGCCCCGTGAAGAGGTCTTGCTTGTCCCCAGTGCGACTCTCATGCCTGGGTTCCGGCAGCTGATGAGGAGGCTCATCACTGCACACAGCCATATTGCTGCCCCAGGGACTGAAGCTGAGCCTGTTTAGAGCCCAAAGGAGAATTGCCTGGGGACTGCCCTCCAGGGGCCTCATGGGGAAGACTAGTCTAGGCATCCTGCTGGCCCTACCCGGTCTGGGGGAACACTCACCGTGAAGGCAATGGCGGAGGTGTAGATGGAGTACCAGTCAGATAAGGCAGACAGGTTCTTCACGAAGTTAGTGACAGGCTTGGCACCACGCTCTGGGGACAGAACAGACCAAAACGGTCAGCACAGCACTGGCCAGCCCTGTAGCACATGAACAGATTCACGTGCCCCCCCCCCCGCCCTCCCAGGCAGAAGCAAAACCAGCTCACTGGCTGCACTGGGTACAAGACCCAACCCACTGAGGGCCCCTGCTGCCAGTGTCCCTCCTGACCGTTAACCACGGTCCCCACAGTGAGATGGCACCTGCCCCCAGCATAGCCCACAGATAGCAGGAGATGGGCAAAGGGAAGAATCAGTGAGGACGGCTGCCATTTGCACTCTGCAGGGCTTAAGGAATATCAGAGGACTGAGCCGTGTTTCATCCAGAATCAGTGGTTCACAACCCCTTTGGGGGTGGGGTCAAATGACCCTTTCATAGGGGTCGCCTAAGACCACCAGAAAACAAAGATACTTATGTTATGATTCATAACAGTAGCAAAGTGACAGTTATGAAATAGCAACAAAATAATTTTATGGTTGGGGACGCCAGGACGTGAGGAACTTTGTTAAAGGGTTGCAGCAGCAGGGAACTTGAGAACCACTGCTCTAAATTCTAACTGACCAGAGCAGCCTCAACACTCTGTTAGCCCTGAAGGTGGTGTGTCCCCAGCACACTTCCACCACAAGCTTTTGTCTCAGGGAGGAGAGGGGGGAAGACGGAGGGAGGTGGGGGAGGGGAGGAATTGAAGTGGAAGGAGCTGCCCTTAAATACTTTTCTGGAGAGTTCTAGTCAGCTCACAATCACAGGGGCTGCCCTCTCCTCATCCCTCCTCCCCCTCTCCCCCTTCTCCCCCTTCCTCTCTCCCTCTTCATCTTCCTCTTCCCCTCTCCTTCTCTCCTCCCCCTCCCTCTTTCTCCTCCCCTCCCTCTTCCCCTCCCCCTCCCTTCCCTTCTTTCCTCTCCCTTCCCCCTTCCCTCCTCCTTTCCCCTCTCCCCCCTTTCTCCCCTTCTTCCTCCTTCCCCCTCCTTTCCCCTCCCCCTCCCCCACACCAAGCCCCACGGTACTTACTCAGTCGTCTCATGTTTTCAGTTAACCTGAGAGAGGGAGAGAGAGATCAGGCTCAGTGTGATGTCACCAGCAGCTCAGCATGCCACTCTGAGAAAACCCCACTACTAACCAGTACAAGGGCAGCAAGGAGGACATATGAGTGCCTGGGACTCTCGGGTGCCTGGAGATGCAGGCACAGTGACACAGAGCACAGTGCTAGGTGCACAGTGGCACAGAGCAGTGCTTGAGAGCCCTTGCTGCTCAGGAGGCCTGGCTCTCCAGAGCCCCTGGGGTCTACGGGAACATCTGATAAGGACATCTGTATATGGACCAGATCTGTGAACCATTAAGTGATCCAAACCCCACAATGGACACCAGGCATACACAACCTTCATGTGACTTTTGTCACAAAGCAAAAGTCATTCAACGTGGATGTGACGTGATTCTACTTTCCCACAAGCCCCTCCAAGAAGATGGCCCAGAAACATGGACACAAGGGGTCTCTAGGAGCTTGTGCCAGCCCCTTCAACAGGATATCAAGACTGACCAGCCCATCAAAGTTTAACGCAGGGCCCTCCCTGGTCCTAGCAAGGAGATCCTTGGTCTTGGTGAGGCGCCCCTACCTGCGAGCACTGAGGGGCTCCTCTGTCTCTACTGTGTTCTCTTCCGGCTGGAAGCGGAAGTCCTCGATGTACTCTCCGAACCTCTCATAGAACCACTTCTGTACACGGGAGGACAACCCCTGGCTGCGGCGCTCTGTGAGAAGGAACAGACATCAGAGAGGGCCACTGCAGGGTCCACACAGCCCGTCCTGAGGTTGGAAGGAGATGAAGGGCAGGTATGGGACCTCACAGAAAATGTCAATCTGGGTGGGGATACAGGAAAGGTTTGGAGGAATGAAGGTTTCACTATGGAGCAAAGTGTGATTGGCCCAGCCCATGGAGCCTTTGAAGGCCTCAGCTCCCTGAAGACACTAGGTTCAAACCAACAGATGTAGTCCAGAGCCACCCCAGCCACAGAGACCCTCCAACACATGATGTCTCCAGCCTCACACTTGACCACAGCAATCTCTAGACCTCAATTTCCCAGTAGCCTCAGGCTTATATCTAGGCCATATCTGATCACGGTGGCTGTCTGTTCAACTCTCCCTGTCGACCTCTGGTATGTCTGGGAAGAGGCTGAGTAGGTTCACCACGGCAGGTCCTGAGGCCCGGCCAATGTGTGCAGGGCATACTGAGGTACAGGACCCAGAGACCAAGCTGCTGGCCAAGGTGAGCTCACAGTAATCAGCTGTGTCTTGCAACCCAAGAGAATGCCAGGGCTGAGGCTGCTCAGCAGGGCACCCAGGCTGCACCCTAAATAAAACAAGATGTGGAGTTGCCTGCAGGGGGCGCTGCGCCACCATAATTTAAAAGCCTGGGACTGGCAGGCTGAACATCGACACCAGACACCTGTGGTGCCATAAACACAGATTATCATGTGTCAATTAAAACGAAAACACACCAGGTGTGTCATGGCGCTAAGGACAGTGGACAACAGTCAATATAAACAAAGCTTGAAGGACACAGGTCAGCGGGAGTGGAGGTTAGGGGGTAGGAGGCTAGGTGGGGAGGCTATGATGTGTGTCTCCTGGGGCTACCCAGACAGCCTGCAGACTTATCTGGCTCTATTACCATCCCCAAGGTTTGTAGGTAGCTCCAGGTAGGCACAGAAGCTTTGGCTGTGGGAGCCAAATGCAGTCTAAAGGCCAGGCAAAAGACTGGACAGCCCGTGCTTCTGTTGGATTATTTATGGACACTGGACACAATGACTGAGAAATAATCTTCCTTGTGTTTTTTTTCCCTAACCATTTAAATATATAAAAAGCTATTTAGAAATGTAAATCCAGGCTGGGCAAGGTATGGAACATCGACAATCCCAACACTGGGCAGGGAGTGTGATGCAGGAGGGTCAGCCTGGGCTATGTAGAGAGGCCTTGTCTCATGAAATCAAAAATGTACAAAAGAAAACCAGATCTGTGAATGGTGGACCCCAGATCCAGGGCACATGGCCATCTGCCTGAAGGAGGCAGTCTTCAATGGGTCCTGAAGTCCTGAGGCCCCAGCCTGACTTCCAGGCTAGGGGATGCTTTCTGCCACTCAGAGCTAGTTTCTAAGGGGGGAAAGGCCTGAAGCAGTGCTTCATGCTCCAAGGTGTACAGAAGAGGTCCAGGGATAGCCTGAGGCAGGCATCCACCTGATGGCTAGCTTCCTTCATTTTTCTAGGATGTGGCAGAGCCGGGGTGTGACCCTTCTCCCCTACCACATCCTTGTCACACCCTTCCTGTCTTGGAGGGTGACCAAGGGCCACAGTGTGGAGAAGGCACACAGTCCCACACAGCCCACTACACCTGGAGACCACGGAAATCAAGATTAGGTCTGTGGGTGCTGGAGAGATGGCTCGGCGGCTAAAAGTACCAGCTAATCTTCCAGAGGACACTGGTTCGATTCCCAACGCCCACACAGCAGCTTACAAGCAACTGTAACTCCAGTTCCGAGAGATTCTATGTCCCTTCCTCCATGGGCGCCAGATACTTACATGGTACAGAGACATAGAGGAAGGCAAAACACTCGTACATATAAAATAAAAATAAATCTTTTTTTCTTAAGAAAAAAATCGGCCTGACCTTGTTGAGAGGACAAGGGGTCACCGGCCCTGTGGAGGAGCAAGGAGCTGGGTGACCCCTCACTTCCAACCCTCACTACCACCAAGCACTGGCGTTTTCTGTGCTTCTCCTGGTCTGATGATCAAGAGTCACAAGCTACGGGCTCTCCATCTAAGCCTGAGAACCAGCCATGGATCCTCCGGATGGCCCAAGGAGGCCACCTCCCAGGGGATGCAGCTGCCAGACCTGCACTGGGGCTGGCTGCCAGCGGGTAGAGTGAGGCTGGACCTGGGAGAACCTTAGGAGAGGCCTCTTCTTCTGGGCCTCTTCCCGATGCTGGCAGCCTAGACCAACAACCTAAGCCACAGCTTATGCCAGGCTTACTGGCATAGGGAGGGAGAGCTTTGTGAATGGTCAGTACGTTGGACGGACACGGTCTGTGAGGCTGCAGCCAGGGCCCGCAGAAGTGTAGAGAGGACGGATTTCCCTTCTTCCCGAAAGGGCAACTTTAGAAGCTAAAGTATGTGGCAAGATGGGTGTGGGTGCTAGGGCAGGAACAAGCGAAAGAGGGAAGGCTTGTTCCCTACCTGAGAGGTTAGGGTATTCCTTGTCATGGTCTGCCACAGTCCACTCAATACCCGCATGGGATGACCAGTCACGGGGAACAGGTCAGCGAATCAATGTGGCATAACCAGCATGTGCCTTTTGATGCCTCTCAGGAGGCCTGGCTCGACAACATGTCACATCTGTGCACAGAAATGAGACCACCTTTGGGGTGATTTGAGCCAGTGAGGGACACTGACCCAGTTTTGATGGCAGGAGATTCCCACATGGGAGAGGCCTGGCTAGGGAGAGAACCATCCCTGCCCAGAGGCCTACCTGTGCCTGTGCCATTGCTGGTCTGGCTCTGTCCCTTTGTCGGCTGCTGAGGCTGTGCTGGCTGCTCCTCGGACCTTAAACGGGACAAAGGCAAAGTTTATGAGTGCAAAGGCCTGCAACCCCACATGGAAGCGAACTCCGGCATGTGGGATCTGCCGGCTCCTGAAGCCCTGAAGGCTGGAGAGCTGCTGAGGACAGAGCCCAGCAAGCACCAAGGTGCTTTCCCCCATGGGCATACGGTCTATTTTTCAATAGGCAAGTGGAGTCTCATAAGCAAGAGTCTCTCACCATTCCTATTAATTTTAACACAATTGCCTGTTTCATCCTTAAGCTCAGGGAAAAAACTAGCTTACTAATGAGAATACCACACATCTCTTTATCCAACACCACACTAGGCCAAAGCTGGATGATATCCCAATATGGTTATGCTGGGTTCCACAAGGCCATGCCAGTCATCTCCCTGGCTCCCTGCCCCCAGCTCAGCTCATAGCTTTTACTGGGTGTAACAGCCTCCTCAGGCTCTGCCTTCAACTGGGGTCTTGCCTTTTTACCCTGTTAGATTCTTGCTGTTACACACTTAACTGCACACCCTGAGGGAGTTATATACCCCAGCAGCAGCCTGGGTCACATCCCTTGGGTGGCAACTCCATCCTGTTTCTCTAGCCAGCTATGCCCACCTCTGGAGTATCAGGACACCTTGACACCTTGTCAGCCTGCACTGGGTTGAGCCATGGGCACACAGTAGCTGTCCCTGCAGCTTTAGGGTACAGTGTGAGCATGCATCTGAGGGGTATGTGGGCTATAAGCATTGTAGGTTTTGAGTGTTAACTTGACACAAGCTAGACTCATCAGAGAAAAAGAAGTCTCAGTTGAGGAAGTGCCTCCATGAGATCCAGCTGCATTAGTGATCAGTTGGGTAGGGCCCAGCCCATTGTGGGTGGTGCCATCCCTGGGCTGGGGGTCCTGGGTTCTATAAAAAAACAGGCTGAGCAAGCCAGGGGAAGCAAGCCAGTAAGTAACATCCCTCCATGGCCTCTGCATCAGCTCCTGTTTCCTGACCTGCTTGAGTTCCAGTCCTGACTTCCTTTAGTGATGAACAGCAACGTGGAGGTGTAAGCTGAATAAACCCTTTCCTCCCCAACTTGCTTTTTGGACATGGTGTTTTGTCGCAGAAACCCTAAGACACATGTACATGTGTTGTGTGGTATATGGAAGTGTCCACTGCATGTATTTGAAGTGTCCCTACACGGCCCTTCTCTCTCCACAGTTCACTAACACGATCAGGAACTAGGAAGTCTTCCCCCGACCCCGGGAAATGTCATTCACTTTAACCCCTCCACTTTCAGGCTTCCAGAAGGCTCCTGAACTCTTCCCTGTCCTTAGAATAAAGCAGAGGAAGAGGCCCCTTGTTTCTCCTGAGACCTTCATTTTCTACTCCCTGGGTCACAACCCGGATGTTCCTTTCCTTCCACATCCTAGTTGGACCAAGGCTATATCAATGCCAGCTCTGAGTTCTTCAAGCTCCAGAGCTGTGAGCTAAATAAACCTCTTTTCTTCGTAAGTACTAGCTTCAGGGATATCATTACAGTAGTAAGAAAGATGAATGTGGGGTTCACCTGGCCTTCAGCACCTCCTGCATTTTCTGTTCCAGTTCGATCCGGCGCTGCCGCTCCCGATCCAGCTCCTGCCGCAGCATCTCTGAGTTGGTCTCTTCTCGAAGCTTCCGGAGCTCCTCCTCTGTGGAGAGGAGATCCAGGTGATCAGCACTCACGCCCACTGTCCCCTCTGACAACACTGGCCAACTTGAGAACAGCAGATAGGTTCCTTCCTGATAAGTAAGGAGTCAGAGCACGTGAACTTTCTCAAGTTTGCTGAGTGCTCAGTTGACAGCGCAGTCTGGTCCCTGCCTGCTATCTATGAGGGTGTCGGCAGCTCCTCCGAGCCCTCCTCTGGGGTGTATGCTGGGGGAGAGGGCTCTTCACTGGGGCTCCTCTTACACAGTGGAGACAAGATGGGACAAAGCATGGGTGAAGGTTTACCTGCGCGCAATAACAGTGCAAAACCCCTTTAGCCAAATCACCACCACACTGGACACCCTGGGGCACACACCGCCGTCCAATTGAGTCTACAGGACTGGGACAGAAAGGCTAACGGCTCCAGGAGGTGCCAACAGCAGCAGAGAGGTGAGCCAGCTCTCAGGCCACCTCAATGCAGGAGAGCCTGGGGGTAGTAAGAGGTCTGGGAACGGGGTGCGGTACCTCCGGAAAGACCCATTTACAGTGGGTGAGCCCTCCAAGGCTCTCAGGTAGCCTAGATACACTATCTGAAACCCTGCCTCGCTCTGCCTGGGCCCTACCCTCATTGCCACAAGAACGCTGTTCAGATCAGAGTTGAGCCCTGGATGAAACTAAGGAGCCGGACTGCAGATGGCTGGTGGAGGGGCGTCAGGCAGAAAACCTGGCAGCTTGGAGGGTAGAGGGAGCCAGGAGCTGACTGAGGAGGGCAGTGGCCTAAAACTGTAGATGTCAAAGCGTAAGGTCAAAGTCATTTAAGATTGCCTTTTGTTCTGAGATAACTCACACATGTTGCAGCCCCATGACAACACGTGTGTCCCCTTCTACCTTTTCCATACTGATATGAGAAGAGGGGATCCTAGTTAGCACCCCTTTATCTTCCTTCTTGCATCACGCAGCGTAACGCAGCCAGAGTTCGGATGGTAAAGAGCCACCGCCCTCAACACATTGGTTTTTTTGTGCTTAGTTCCCCCATGGTCCCAACAGATGGCCAAGGCTGAGCCAGGAGGGAGTCTTGAGTGACAACCCTCTGCCCTGCCCTGACCAGTCTTGAACCCAGCAGGAAGATAGACAGGAACAGAAACAGCGCTCTTGGGGCAATGAGGGTAGGGCCCAGGCAGAGAGAGGCAGAGTGGCAAACAGTGTGGGCTGGGGGTCAGAAGAGAAGTGAAGCATCTAGGCTACCTGAGAGCCTTGGAGGGCTCGCCCACTGTAAATGGGAACGAGCAAATGTGGATGGAAGTAGGAGATTATGCCAGCAAGACCATTTGGGGATGTCATCCCAGGTAGTCAGATAGAGCAGTAAGGCTTGCAGCCCAGGATCCAGGCCCCGCTGCTAACTAGCACAGTGGCGGGCTTTGGTGTGGGAGAGCCCCACGGACAGAGTTTCTCACAGAGCTGCCAGGTTGACAGTCTACCTCAAGCTGAGCGCTAAGACCCAGCTCTGCCCGCTCACAATGGCAATGACCAACCCAGCTCCGCAGGGAATCTCCTCAGGGTCCTTCCACCTAGGTCACAGGTAGCTATGTCACCTCACAGAGCTGCAGCCTGCCCTGGGCTCTCAGTACCTAGAGCTGTCCGTGAAGAAGGTTCACAGCAAGGAAGATATCAGAAAGGGTCAGGGCAGCTCAAACCTCAGGATGTGCCCAGTCCCCAGCTATTTCCAGAGCCACAGGAAACATCGCATAAGGATAGCTCCCTAAACAGTGTGCCATGGACTCTGCCAATGCTGACAAGGGGACAACCAGGACATGATGTTCCTATCACCACAGAGGACAGGAATGTCTCACGTGGAGTTTAGTCTTCCTGGGATGATGTGGAGGTCACTTCTAAGGAGCATCCTGGGAAAGCACGGTTGGTGCCCACACTTAGCCCTACCTGGCCTCCAAAGACTCAGGCAGGTACAAAGCCATGATAACCCAGGGCCAAGGTCAGGGCATGTCTGTGTGTCCTGAGCTTGGTTTCCTGGATAGCAGTACCCTTAGATGTGATCTAAGGACTGTTTATGCAGAAGTCCACCACAGTTGTAGCCTGTGGCTACTGGTTCAGTTATTGGGTCAATATTGGTTTCAATCACACAGAGCACACAGTTCTGGGGTTGGTGAGCTGAGCCTTGGGGAGGGAAATCTCTGCAGGAAAAGACAAGCTTTGCCCTGTGCTGTTCCGAGACAAAGGAACTAGACAACATTATTTTCTACAGCCTCTGAGCAGGACCATGTGGCTAGATTCCCAGGAAGAGGCAGCTGCTCCACACTGATGGGCGAGGTGAGGTCACTATAGCCTGGAACCTTTCTGGATTGAATGGGAACTTTTCAGGGTGACTCAGTGGCTTCCTTTCCTATCTTAGTCACCTCACCAAACATGGGGACATAGAATCAAACATGGGCATATGCCAGGCCCTAGACATCAAGCATACTGAGATTCCTGGGGACACTGACCAAGAGGAATCAAAGTGCTAAGTGTCTTGCCCATGACAACCGTTGGCCACACCCCTCCTGTAAGAAAGTCCAAGCAGAGGCAGAAGAGGGTCCTGGACTTTTGGGGTCCTCAGCCCATGAGCCCTAGAGACCACAGGGTATCCCACCGATCCTATTACTAATCCTGGCTGTGAGGTAAAGGCTGCCCCTATTCCCCCAGTGCTGCCTGGCACAGCTGTGGGCACCAAGCTATACACAGCTTCTCTGGTAGACACTCCCTGAGTTCCTATGTCTTAGCCTGTCAAAGTTCCTGGGACACCAACTGGGGAGGATGTGCTGCGCAAAGCAGATGTATGGGTAGGGCCTGGAGAGCAGCCTTGAGCAAATGAATGGACCCATTGGCTAAGCCTAAATGCTAGCCCTAGCCTAGCCTGGACCCCTAGTGGGCAGAACCTTGTCTATTATGTTGGGGAAGACTGTGTTGCCCTAGGCCTTTCCCCCATGGGATGGATGAAAGCTAAGACACCCGGTGCTCTTAACAACAGAGTGACTGTATGATCACTTGAGACAGACAGGCCAGAAGCCTCCCTCCTCAGGACCCAAGTGTCAGCCACCTGGCCCATCCTACAGCCTGGGATAGGTATAGTAGAAGAGCTATCAGGGTTCAGTGAATGAGCAGGCGGATGGATCAACCACCTGACATCCTCCACTAAGATGACCAGTGAGCTTTCTCCCAAAGGGACCCACCTACCTTGCTCAGCCACGTACTCAGGACAGTTAATCAGGCCTGCACGTAAGGCCATCTCAAGAACCAGATGTGAAAATACATCATTTTATTAAGTGAGTGAGGATACTAGAGAGATGGCTCGGAAGTTAAGAGCGTTTACTGCTCTTGTAAAGGCTCTAGGTTCTTTTCCCAGCATCTATCTCGGATAGCTCACAACAACCCATAACTCCAGTTTCAGGAGATACGATGCCCTCTGTCCTCTGTGGACACCTGCACTCATGTGATGCACATAAACTCACATGAGCACACAAGTACTGTCTTGGTTAGGGTTTCTGTTGCTGAGATGAAACACTATGATGAAAAGCAAGTTGGGGAGGAAAGGGTTTATTTGGCTTACACTTCTGCATCACTGTTCATCATCAAAGGCAGTCAGGACAGAAACTCAGACAGGGCAGAAACCTGGAGGCAGGAGCTGATGCAGAGGCTATGGAGGAGTGCTGCTTACTGGCCTGCTCCCCATGGCTTGCTCAGCCTGGTTTCTTATAGAGCCCAGGGATGGCACCACCATAATGGACTGGGCCTGCCAGTACCAAACTAATTATGAAAATGCCCTACGGCTGCATCGTATGGAGGCATTTTCTCAACCGAGGTTCCCTCCTCTCAGATGACTTTAGCTTGCATCAGGCTGACATAAAACTATCCAGCACAAGTACATATAAAAATGATACGTGAATCTTCAAAAAATTAAAAATAAAAGAACCAGGTGTATGAGCAGACTCAGCCTGGAGGGTCTCTATGTTCCATCTTCTGTCTCTATACTGACAATGCTGACACCACAGATAAACAGAGCTAAGAAAACTTACACTGTTGGTATTGCTGGAGGGAGACTGAGGGAGGAAGCCTGAGGCTGGGGGTCAGATACTTTCCTGCCTGATCACCTGACCCCCACCCCCACCACCCCACGGCCTCTTGGATCCCAGCCCATGTGAAGAGCAAAAGCGATTCTTCTCTATCTTTACGGTGTAAGCTGCTCAGCCAGGAACAGGAAATTGGGCTTTCCTTAATTGGCCTCCCGTGAATGTCTGTGTCTTCCTGGTGTCGCTATATCAGAAAGCTCATCACCATGTTCCATTCGCGGCAGATGATTAGCTAGCAGCGGGGCTGTAGCAATGCTGATGCAGATGTGGGCACAGAGATCCCTACCCAAGATGAGCAGGGTGCAGACAACGTTCTTTCCCTTCTCTCTGGTGTGGAAGGGCTTGTGTGCAGCCCCCTTGGAGGAGTGTAAGTCTCCTCGCGGTACAAATAATGCTAGCCCCTCCCAGGACTCCAAGGGGCCGGAAGCTCATCCCTGCAATAGTACAACTGCTTCTTCAATGGTGTGCCTCTGCAGCCCAGCTCTCGACATTACCTGCCCTCCCCAGCCATTAGGGGCTCAGCTGCAGGGGCAGGTCCACTGCAGCCCTTGCCAATTTAGTGAGTCAGCCTGTCTATTCCCAGCAGAGCCCCAGAGGCTCTGCACCTTTTCCTGGTGGCAGGCGGAGAGAGCTGAGTGTGTAAAAACCAGTGGGATTTCTGAGCCTTTCTTTCCGTGGACTCTTTCTCCCTCGGCTAATGGCTCCCTGCAAGGCCCTCTCTCTGGAACTGAAATGATGAGCCCCGGTGTCTGTCTCGGTAATGTGGGCCAGCTTCCATCCCACGGTGACACATTTAGGTCAGATGCAGTGCAGTGCCTGGTCCTGTCGTTTCACGGAACAATAGCAATACAAACCCCAGTCATCAGTTTCTCCTGCTCCTCCC